TCTTACTAATACCCAAGACCCAGATGTACCTGAGCTCCTCCCCCTGAGGTAGGACCGCCCCCAACCCACCGGCTGCCTGGACCAGACTTTGATCCTGGTTGTTCTGTCACCCTTCAGATATCTTCTCCTCTAACAGAACCTTGGGACAGGAAGTAGTTTCACAGGAACCACCTAGAACCAGCGTGATGTTCTCATATAACAGTTTATGAACATTTGGCCAGGACTCCCTTGAAAACGAGGTTTTAATCTGAAAGGGAACTAACTTCCTGTTGAATAAAGAATAAATAAAATGTCTGCTCTGTTCTAGCTCTATGGACCAGCCATGACGCCTCGCCCATCGCTCCTCCCCTTCCCTCAGACTCAAACTCTCATTCATGGCCTTCTGTCAAAGTTCTTGCTCAACGGCTCTTTGGCATCACACCGACGACTCACCACTGTAGGCCACACACCCCAGCCTGTGATTGGTCAGGAGTCAGTGGAGGTGTTAGGCCACTCCTACCCACGGGATGACTTCACCAACATCACTGCGAAGATCCTGGCAAAGGTGGGCCGCAACCTTCACAACCAGCATCATCATCCTCTGTGGCTGATCAAGGAGCGAATCAGAGCTCACTTTTACAGGTAGGTCAGGTGTGACTCAGCAGCCAATCAGCTCTTAGAGCTCGTGACTTCTGGTAGTGTTGCTGCTGCAGTTCCCGCAAACGTCTTCGAGGTGTTTCACGTCCACTTAGGGTAGCAAACCGTCTCTGCTTCTACAGGAAGCATGGTGTTCTGCAGACTGCTCATTATGGGATGTGAGTGACTTTTACCCAAAAACATGATCCAGGTGTCTGGAATGAGAGAGAAGGCCAGGTGGTGTGTGTGTGTGTGTGTGTGTGTGTGTGTGTGTGTGTGTGTGTGTGTGTGTGTGTGAGTGTGTGTGTGTGTGTGTGTGTGTGTGTGTGTGTGTGTGTGTGTGTGAGTGTGAGTGTGAGAGTGTGAGATAGAGCTAGTTGAGCTCTGGGCCGGCGCTGCTTTATGATTCTAGCATTTGTCGGGTCGTGAACCTCCGTCCTTGTTGGAGCGGGAGCTCTGGAAGCAGCAGGACACCTGAGAGCTTCAGACCTGATCACCTGATTTCTATTGCTCCAGGTGTGTCTTCATGGAGCTGAATTACACAACAGCCGACTCACAACTGGGTCGGCCTCAGCTGAGTTCCATGGGGAGTTTTGGTTCTTCAGACGTGAACCTGATGGTTCTGGTCTGTTGGGGTGACGTTAGAATGACCTGATGAAGCTTCTCATATTTAAATTTTCTTCCTAAGGCCAAAGACTTTTAGAAAAACTTCAGTTTCACATTCCAGGATGAACAAAGCTTCCTTGTGCTGGATTCTCCTGACAATTGTTCCTCCACAGCTCCTTCATCACCCGCTCGGGGAACCCTCTCTTCTCCGTTCATGATAACCTGAGCCCGGTGGTGTCGGTGGAGCAGAACTTTGACAGGTCAGGACCTCCGTGTTGTCCTTCAGACTAAAAACCGTTCACAAGGTTAAAGTTTCTGCTGCTGCAGGTTTTTTTGTTTTAGCTCAAATCTTTTTGTGCGGGTGTTTGATTAACAGCTTGCTGATCCCCCCCGACCATCCCAGCAGGAAACGAGGAGACAACTATTACCTGAACAGGTGAGTCTTTTCTGCTTTCCTCTGAAGGTTTGGTAAACTATTCTATATTAATGACGGGAGAAGGGGATGATGTCATTCAGCTTTATTAGGATCACTCGTGTTGACATGAAATAATAAATGTTAAGTTTATTTAAACTCTAAATGAAAACTCAGATTTTATATGTTCATAAATCTTTAACTTCATTTATAAAAAGGAGAAGAAACAATACTTTATAATTAAAATAAATAAAAAGATTCTTAAATGTATAAAAATCAGGAAAATAAAAAAACGTAGTGACTAAAAACGATGCAAGGAAAAGAGAAAATGAAGAAGAAAGGTTCATTTTTAAACATGGTGGTTTTTACTATGATGGTACATAATTCACATCAGGAGGTTTTTTAGTAGGAACATTCAGGATTTACAGAAAAGACAACTTAGCTCGTTCGTCAGCGGGGCTTTCAGACCACTTAGGAGGTGAGGAAAGTTTATGGGCGCTGAAGGGGGCGTTCACATGCTAATGGTGGATGCTATAAGGTCAACTATACAGTTAGCTCAGTCTAGCTGTTAGCTCAGACTAGTCAAAAACTCAGACTATCTGTTAGCTGAGATTAGCCATAAACTCAGACTAGCTGTTAGTCTGAGTTTATGGCTAATCTCATACTATCTGTTAGCTCAGACTAGTCATAAACTCAGACTAGCTGTTAGCTGACATTAGCCATTAACTCAGACTATCTGTTAGCTCAGACTAGTCATGAACTCAGACTATCTGTTAGCTGAGATTAGCCATAAACTCAGACTAGCTGTTAGTCTGAGTTTATGGCTAATCTCAGACTATCTGTTAGCTCAGACTAGTCAAAAACTCAGACTAGCTGTTAGCTGACATTAGCCATTAACTCAGACTATCTGTTAGCTCAGACTAGCCATTAACTCAGACTAGCTGTTAGTCTGAGTTTATGGCTAATCTCAGCTATCTGTTAGCTCCGACTAGCCATAAACTCAGACTTGCTGTTAGCTCAGACTAGTCATAAACTCAGACTAGCTGTTAGCTGAGATTAGCCATGAAGTCAGACTAGCTGTTAGCTCAGACTAGCTGTTAGCTCAGACTTGCTGAGATTAGCCATCATCTGTCCTAAAGTACATAAAGTATTTCTGTGAACAGGGGCTAACAGGTGAAGGCGTTTTTCATAACCTTGTCCTAATAGCTGAGATTCCCTTTAACAGAAGCAGGAAGTGTGTGAATTCCTGCTTATAAAGAGTCTTGTTTCCTGCCGTTATCCCAGCAGGTGCTTTTAGTTTTGTTTGACGCCTCTCATGGTTTTCTTCAGAAACACGATGCTCCGCGCTCACACCTCTGCCCACCAGACGGAACTGGTCCGGTCGGGTCTGGACGCGTTCCTTTTGGCGGGAGATGTTTACCGACGAGATGAGGTCGATGCTAGCCACTACCCGGTCTTCCACCAGATGGAGGGGGTCCGACTCTTCTCCAACCACGAGGTTCGACCCAAACAGAACCAGGCTTCTGTGTTATTAAAGTCTCATTTAGAAGAGATTTCATTATATTGAGTGAAATGCAGACATAAACTGCCCTGCGCTGCCACCTGGTGGCATCAGATGGTGCAGCAGATCTAGATGATTTTTTTATGCATTTTACTGATAACTGTAAAATCCACATCTGTGATGGTGGTTCTGATCGGGTCCGCTGTGTGTCCAGCTGTTCTCTAAGGTCCAGAGAGGAGAGGAGCTGGCCCTGTTTGAGCCAGGAGGCCGTCGGACTCCACAGAAACAGGAGGCGCACACCCTGGAGGCGGTGAAGCTGGTGGAGTTTGACCTGAAACACACTCTGACCCGACTCGTCACTCACCTATTTGGCTCAGGTGAGACTGGCAGGATGTTCTGGGTTCAGCTGACACCATCAGGCTTTATCAAGCTCCTGTGTCCCGTCAGGTGTGGAGGTCCGGTGGGTCGACTGCTACTTCCCCTTCACCCACCCGTCCTTTGAGATGGAGGTCCGTTTCCAGGGCGACTGGATGGAGGTTCTGGGCTGTGGAGTGATGGAGCAGAAGCTGCTGAACTCAGGTCAGATTTGTCCGTGTGCTGGACGATGAGGTGAAGTGCATGCTGACCTGGAAACAGAACCAAGCCGTCTCTGTGAGATGGATCAGGGACCTGAAGAGCTGGATGTGTCTTTAGAGAGGATTTATACAGAACATAGGAGGAGGAGGAGGAGGAGGAGGAGGAGGAGGAGACTCTTATAGCTTCTGTTAGTCTCAGTGATTTGCTGTTTTGTGGCGTTAAACGTCTCAGACAGGAAGTTACCTGCTGACTTCCTGTCTGCAGCGATGGAACAGCCTGACCTGCTCCTCTGCAGCCAGCTGGTTCCTCCTCCCCGAGCCTCCTGCTCCTCTGCAGCCAGCTGGTTCCTCCTCCCCGAGCCTCCTGCTCCTCTGCTGTCAGCCTGCTAAGTGGCCGACTTGCTGCTTTGCCCTTGAACAAGCGGCGGCGGCGCGCCGCTTCACCGCTGCTTGTTCCGATCAATAATACATGCTTTAAAAGGCGGAGAGCGGTGGATCACACTCCCGCTCCGAGTGTGTGTTCCTGCTGACACGTTCCAGATGTGAGTGCTACAGCGTGCGCCGGAGCCGTGAACGCGTCAGCCTGATGGTTCTGGTCCCGTCTCCGGCCTCCATCTAACAGGTGGTGTAAACCAGCCGGGTAAAGCCGGGACATGAGCGTTCTGAATGAAACCAGTGCAGGCAGGAAAGGTCCAGCTTCCTGTGACTCATCTAGTTTAGGGTTCATGTTTCTACTGGGGAGTCTACCTGGGGGGCGGGGCTTGCTCACCTGTTCTACCTGAATGTCATTGATGTCTACAGGGTTAGGGTTAGCTTTCTGTTCATCACACACACTGAGCCTCATGTACCTGCTGCTGGAAGAACCCGGCGTAACCGGATCAGAACCGGGCCGAGCTGCTGTTTGTGTTGGTTTGATTTAGAAATGAGCAGCAGGTGAATTTAGAGCTGCATCTGCCAGCCCCACCACCAGGAGGAGCTGCAGAGCAGGAGGAGGATCGCTGTGTGTGTGTGTGTGTATGTGTGTTATTGAGTGTGTGTGTGTGTATGTGTGTTATTGAGTGTGTGTGTGTGTGTGTGTGTATGTGTGTTATTGAGTGTGTGTGTGTGTATGTGTGTTATTGAGTGTGTGTGTGTGTGTGTGTGTTATTGAGTGTGTGTGTGTGTATGTGTGTTATTGAGTGTGTGTGTGTGTGTGTGTATGTGTGTTATTGAGTGTGTGTGTGTGTATGTGTGTTATTGAGTGTGTGTGTGTGTGTGTGTATGTGTGTTATTGAGTGTGTGTGTGTGTATGTGTGTTATTGAGTGTGTGTGTGTGTGTGTGTATGTGTGTTATTGAGTGTGTGTGTGTGTGTTTTCGTGCACTCGGTTAAATCCATCCCATCACCGAGGCGTGACTGAAATTCCCGGCTCCAGGACTCCTGGGGAGGCAGAGCGCTGCCGGCTGCTTCCTGCCGCGGTGCCGGTTCTGCGTGAGCCCTTCCTGAGGCAGTGGGAGGTTAAACTGCTGCTCAGGTGCAGAGGAACAGGAAGCTGCGTCTCAGGTGTGACGCCTCAGAACACAAGCAGCCTAACTTCTTCTCAGGAACACCAACGTAGGCCCGGTGCTCATGTCAGCTGGTGGTTGGCTTGTGACCTCTGTTCCTCCTGAAGGTGCTTATAGACGACCTGCTTCCTGAACAGCCTCGGTTCTGAGAAATAGAGTTTACAGCCTTCAGAACTGATGAGCTAACAGCTAGTCTGGTGTGATTCTGGTTCAGAACCACCCTATAAAGAGAACCGGTTGCTCCCCAGTAAAACCTGTTAGAGCAGATGCCATTTACACAAGGCATTGTGGGTAATGTAAGTCTGCACTGGTTTGCTTTGCTCTCTGGGCCTGACGAATGTTTGTGTCGCTCTGATCTAAAGGAAGTGGTTTATGGTGTTGTTTGGTTACTTAGGTGCACCAGTGTTGCTCACCAGCTACCCCCGGTGGCACCGAGATGCCATCAGACATCTGATTATTGAGTTTGGTTCCTCCACCCCCAACGACGACTAAAGCCCGGATCACACTGCGGCCGCCTTAGCCCGGTCCCTCGTCGGTCGTCCAGTCTGACCGGCTCTGCGGCAGCTTCATGAGCCGTCTCACGACCAAAGACTCAAACGAGTCTACAGGCGTGCTGGAAACCTACCACTCCTGTCTGCAACCGACCAATGAAAACACCCCCCAGCAGCGAGACTCCGCCTCTCTGAGCTCCGGTTCCAATAGAGTAGATTATAAACTACTCACCAGCTTTTATTTCTGTTAGCAGCCCGAGTTAAACCGGAGTTCTACTAAAATAACCAAACTACCTGTAGACCATCAGCCGAGGCCTGACTGTGTGAGTGAGAGAAGAAGAGCTCACCAACGTGTAAATAAACACAAACATCCCATCCCTCTGCTGTTGGTGGAAACTTCACACATCCAGCCAATGAGGATGCTTCAGCAGCGGCGAGCTGCAGGGGGACAGAGGAAGCTAACCCTAACC